AGGGAGCCCGATGCGGGGCTCGATCCCAGGACCCTGGGATCATGACCTGAGCCGAAGGCAGACGCTTAATGACTGAGCCACCCAGGCGCCCTAAAAATACAATCTTAAAAAAAACAAAAAGATCCCAATGTTTTTTCCTTTGCTTTCCTCTAGAAATTTAGTAAGTTTAGACCTATGGTTCATTTCTAACTAATTATTGAATATGGTTTGCAGTAATAGTCATGGTATATATTTTTTTGTTTTGCATATAGATTGTTCCAGCACTGTTTGAGATTATCCTTTTCCCATTGAAATACTGTCTTTTTAAAAAATCATTTGCTAATATGTGTATGTCTATTTCTGAATTCTCTAGTCTGTTCTAGTGGTCTGTATGTCTTTATACACCAGCACTTTACTTTTTGTAACTTTACTGTAACTTTATAATGTCTTGAAATCAGATGGTGTATGTCTTCCAACTTTGTTCTTTTTCAAAAGTATTTTAGCTAATCTAGGACTTTTGCATTTCCATATAAATTTAGATTCAGCTTGTTAATTTCTACAACAAAACACTGCTAGGATTTTGACTGAGATTGTATTGAATCCACACATCAATTTAGAGAGAACTGACATGTTAATGATAGTGAATCTTTTGATCCACAAATGTGGTATATCTCTCCATTTATTTAGGTCTTTCATTTTTCTCAGCAATATTTTGTTATATTTACTGTACCAAAGTCTTGCACATATTTTGTTAAATTTATCCATAAGTATTTTCTATTCTTATGCTATTTATTGTTTTTTTATTTTTATTTTTTAAAGATTTTATTTATTGGAGAGAGAGAGAGAGAGAACACAAGAGGGATGAGGGGCAGAGGGAGAAGCAGACTCCCCACTGAGCAGGGAGCCCGATGTGGGGCTCAATCCCAGGACTCCAGGATCATGACCTGAGCCGAAGGCAGACGCTTAACCGACTGAGCCACCCAGGCGCCCCTAAATATTGTTTTTTAAATTTTTACAATTTATCATTGCTTGTATACAGAAATACAATAGAATCTTTGTATATTAATTTTTTATTCTGTAACTTGCTAAACTCACTTAGTAGTTCTAGTAACTTTTTTTTTTTTTTAAAGATTTTATTTATTTATTTGACAGAGAGAGACACAGCGAGAGAGGGAACACAAGCAGGGGGAGTGGGAGAGGGAGAAGCAGGCTCCCGCAGAGCAGGGAGCCTGATGTGGGACTCGATCCCAGGACCCTGGGATCATGACCTGAGCTGAAGGCAGTCGCTTAACCAACTGAGCCACCCAGGCGCCCAATTCTAGTAACTTTTTGATAGATTCCTTTGGTTTTTCTACATAGATAATCGTGTTACCTTACTTCTTTCTTTCCTGTCTGTATGGCTTTTGCTTCTTTTTATTTTCTTATTGCACTGGATAGGATTTCCTGTACTACTGAATGGAAGTGGTGACAGTGGACATCTCTAAAATGACATCTTTTATAAAGAGAGAGGATGACACCTTTAAACATTTTTTCCTGTCCCAAATAGAAATAATCACTGGCTGTATAGAGGTACAAGCAAAATATGATGGGATGAGTTGGGGTTGGCAGAAAATGGAGCAATTAAATCCTATCCATTGGGGACTGTTTATAGAAGGCAAAGTTTTTAAGCAAGTTCTTTGGCTCTTCTTGATCTGACCTGGGCAGGTGACATTATCTGTAGTCTGTTTCCCCCACCCTACCCTTGCTATGGGTGTTCCCCTTCCTGATGCTTCCAGCCAACAGAGCTACCATGACTCTCTATCCATTGGTTCCAGGATGCTGTCCTCTCCTGATGTGATGGCATGCTCACGGACCTGCTCCTGCATCCTGGGGCTGAGCCTTGGGACTACCGCCCTGTTTGCTGCTGGAGCCAACTTGGTTCTCCTCTTTCCTAACTGGGATGTGACCTACCTGTTGAGGGGCCTCATTGGCAGGCATGCCATGCTGGGCTCTGGGCTCTGGGGAGGAGGACTCATGGTAAGTGTTTGGAGTTTCTTGGGTGTGAATTCCCCAAACACCCCTCAGGGTGGAGCAGGGAAGTGGCAGGGGAGTAGTGTTTTGGTTCTTTGCAAGAATGCTTGGTCTTGGGGGTGCCTGGCTGGCTCAATGGGTAGAGCATGTGACTCCTGATCTCAGGGTTGTGAGTTTGAGCCCCACATTGGGCGTAGAGATTACTTAAAAATAAAATCTTAAAAAAAAAAAAAAAAAGGGGGCGCCTCGGTGGCTCAGTTGGTTAAGCGACTGCCTTCGGCTC